TGCTTTAGTGTAGGCCTTTGTCATCTCTTGCCTAGATTATTATTATACCCACCTTCATATTAGTTTTCCAACCTCACCTTTTCCATCAACCACTCCTGGAATGATAGTCCTAAACTCAAATTTGATCATGTTATTTCCTTAACTATAACACTTTATTCATTCAAATGCACCCTTTTGATTCTGCCTCTATGCCCTTTGCCTGGAACTCTTGTCCTCACCTCCTCTTATTGGTCTGCCAAGTTTCTAGTCCTCTTCTAAGAGCCAGTTCAGCAATGTCTCCTCTGTGAAGCCTTCCCTGACTACTTGATGAAAGGCCTTACTGTTTTTCTTCGGCGCTGCTGGACCTGGTTCTTACTTCTTACAGTGCTCATCACCCTGTCTTGACTGTGTATATCCATCCCTGGAGCAAGAGGCTGTGGTATGGAGCTCAGCACAACAGTTAGCAGAAAGTAGGTTCTTAGTGTTTGTTGACTGAGGAGATGAGCAATAAGGGAGGAGCTGGAGGCCTGAGCAAACCTGATCCTCACTTTGCAATATAGGAGGAGAGAGAATGGTGTGCCTCTTCCTAGAACCTGAGAAATGCTACTGGGTCATGAGTTACATGGACCATTAGGAGAATCCACTCTTAAACTGAAGAGTCATTTTACTACAAGGAGATGACTTAAGGCTCCCAGACCACAGAATACATGTAGGTCAATTTTCCATAGTGGCTTCTTGCTAGCTTTACAATGTTCCCTCTGCCACTTTCAGGAACTGCTATGACCCACTCACTAAATTAATGTCCTGACCATCTCCATCCCTGAGTGCAAGGAGTCAGGAGGAGTCTGAAATTCCTTTCCAAGCTTACATGGTCAAAGAGTCAGAACCTCAGCTTTCCTCATCTTCTCCCAAGCAAGGTGACACTCTTTCCTAGGAATGCCCTACAGTGATCACCACTCTTTCCTAACATGTATCTAAAACCTTCCTGTAGCCATTTGAGCCCATCTTTCTCCTGGCCACCCCCTGGAGAGATCTCACATATCTTTATCTGTAAAGTACCTGGAACTGAGCATATGCTCGTGAACTATACAACTGAGTTAACAGATAACCTGGGTTTCAGTGAGGCCAGACTAGTATTTCTCTCAAGAGCACAGAGACCCTGTCCGGTGCCATATGCTTTTTCCCCCCCGCCACCAAATCTCTTCCTCTCCATTACAGCCAACGAGAAGACATAGTCTGTGAGGCTGTACCAACCAGCCCAGCAGACAGACAGTAGGGCTAGAGAGCCTATCCCTGCTGCTCATACAAACAATAGCCCAAATTCAACACAATTGCTCAACAGAGAGCCTTGGACAGCTGGGAGCTTCCCTAGATCAATAAGGTGTGTGGCTTGGCCATAGAACTGACATACAAGGTGCACCTATCCCTGTCTTTGCAAAAATCTGTGCTCAGAAACACTCAGGATTGTAGGAGATAGACACAGGAGGAGTGGAACCCAGGGACTAGGTCTCCCAGAGGAGCTCTCATTCCTTTCATAAGGAGACAGAAAGAGACCTTGGGGAGCTCTCAGGGATAGGCCCAGGCCTGGTTCAGCTGCTGCGATGCAGCCAGGCCAATTAAATAATTGGTGTGATGAGGAAAGTAGGGAGGCAACTCCCTTCAGGCAAACTCCACCCCAGACAGGAGGCTCCGTGCAGCTGTGGCAACAGCAGCAGCAACAACAGAGCAGGGATCTCTTCCTCTTCCTCCCACTAGCTGAGAACTATGCTTAAATTAGCACCTTGGAAACACCCAGATCTGCTGGCTGTGCCTTGTCTCCTAGCTTCTGCCGCTCCCCTAGGCCTCCTTTTCAAGTGCAAGTTTCTCTTTCAAGTAAATTTAAAAAAAGATGTTTTCCACCTAGAGTTCATCTCTCCAAGTAAGGAATGGCCTCTGGATTCTTCCAACCACTATGGGTAGGAGAGTGTTATTTGATGATTAAGCCCACGTGACAGGCCACTATCGGTACAGCTTGGTCCAGAAAGGGGCAATGATACCAACACAAGCACTGCCTTGTTTCCCTTAGGGCTTAAGGAGACAGCCCCGCCTCTGCCCTCAGAGGGACTCACACTGAGAGGGTGAGCAAGAACAATAACTTCTGCTAAACTGTGAGCTCCAGGAGGCAGGGCTATGTCTGTCCCTATGTTGCTAACCACTGTGTCCCCAATACCTAGTACAGTACCTGGAACAGAGCTGATGCTCAATAAATATTTGGTGAATGAATTTGCTGAATCAATGATATCAGGTCACTATGATATTCTTTGGAAGAGTGAGGAGCTATTGTTTAATCTTTAAAGAAATAGTTTGTCTTCATTTCATAACTGGGAAACTGAGTCCAGAGAAGAGAGATTTCCTAGAGGTCTTAATAAATAATGGCAAAAAACGAAATAGGTCACAGCTGAGTCTGAGACCCTGGTTTTTTGTTTTTTGTTTTTACGGTACCCGGGCCTCTCACTGTTGTGGCCTCTCCCATTGCAGAGCACAGGCTCCAGACGCGCAGGCTCAGCGGCCATGGCTCACGGGCCCAGCCGCTCTGCGCCATGTGGGATCTTCCCGGACCGGGGCACGAACCCATGTCCTCTGCATTGGCAGGTGGACTCTCAACCACTGCGCCACCAGGGAAGCCCCAAGACCCTGGTTTTTAAGGTCTACCCAAACACCCCTAAAGGGCCACTTTGCCCTTCTCTTCTGCAGTATGCCACCTTGATTCCTTATGCCCCGAAATGAAGACTCTTGGGGAAACTCCACACAAGATTCTGCTGGTCTCAATAATACAAAGAGCATTTAAGGAGCTCTGGGGATCCTCTAGACTTTGACCTGGGAACAGTGGTGGAGAGGCAGAGATCTGCAGGGCAATGGCTATGACCCCCAAATGGCGGATGACTGTATTGCTACTTCCATAAGGCTCTCATTCAACCTCAACAAAGTATCCTCTTGCAGAGAAGGGCTCCTTTAGCCTTCAAGAAAAGGGTCTGAAGGCGGTCACAGCTTTTCTGATAAGTGCCTCCTTGCCGTAAGCACTTCTACTTCAGAGCCACACAGATCAGAAGCAGCCCAGAAGTCTTCTGAGGACACTACTCACTCAAACCATCGTTGAAAACTTCAGGCAAAAACAGAGGCATCAGGGACAGCTGAGAGAACCTGGTGACCCCTTCCTTCTCCCCTCTCCATGGACAGTTATTGCCTCTCTCCTTAGGAACCCCAGATGGGAGGCAAGAACCAGCTCATTGCTTTCTTCTCATTCACTTGGACCTTCTCCTTCATCTGCCCTCCCTTTTGATTCTTGATTAGATACATACAACTGGAAGGGCAATCTAGTTTGACAAGCCAGGTTAGCTGGAAAGATAATTCAGAAAGGAGTGTTCTCTTAGCCCAGGCCAAAGTTCTTCAAGTTCATGGGACAGACTTCTCAACAAGGATTTTCTGGCCCTCAAATAACCCAATGATGGCATCAGGCTAGGAAAAAAGTCCAGCAGCATCTCTCTCCCCAGTTTAATATTACACTTCTGTAAAGCTTCTCTGTTTGGGCTTCTGGAACTAAGTAGTCACAAAAGGGGAAAAAAGACACATCTCTGGCTAGGTGGCCTCTGATGATTCTCTCTACCATCCCCCAAAAGGTGTGGCTTAGAGTTGGTCATGGGTCCCTGCCAAGGTCTGTCTTGGCTGCTGTAATGGAGAGATTACTTGCTCAGAAAACCACAAAGCACATCTGTCAGCCAGGGGCGGGGGTCCCAAGGGTAGAACCTGTTCCTCACCTCCGCTTAACACAGAGGGAAGAGGGTTAGGGAACCCCAGAGCTTCAAGACCTGGAGAGCTCTGCTCAGCTCTAGCTGAGCTCATAGAATAGGGCATCCACACCTTCAGGTTCCTGGCTTGCCTTGCCTCCTTCCAGCTCCCACCTGGGCTCCAAGGGGGAAAGGAGAAGGAAAAGCAAAGCGAACAGAGCCGGGCACTCCCTCCCTTCTCCCTTTCCTTCTTCCAGTTGGAAAGACGCCGCCGCCAGGCCTCGGCGTCTCTCGCCCGGCGGATGTGCAAGCCAGTCAGGTAGACGCCCCGGGACGGTGGCCAATGGGTATGGTCTCCCCTAGGCCGGCCTCCGTGCATCGCCCTCCCCCTTCCATCCCCTCCGCAACGGCAGCGATGACATCATTCTTCCCTGACTCCGGGACCGCGGACAGGAGGCAGGATCGGCGCCCAGCAAAGACTCCAAGCACGTAGGCCTAGGATGCTGGAGGCTCTTCCGAACCGGTGGGCACAGGCGGCTCCAGTGCGGCCCCGCCCCCTCTCCTGCCAGTTCCCCAGCTCTCATGTGCGCTCCGGATTCTCCATCTCGCCACCGAGCTCTTTCCTTCCCGGCTCCAGCACCCCCAGCCTAGATTGACTGCACTCTCTTCCGGAAAAGAACGGGATTCCCGGGTCCTGCATGGATCCCCTGTCTCCACTCGTCCTCTGCCCAGGCCCTGCGTTCCCATCCATAGCCAGTGAACTGGAGGGGAGGCCCCTCCTCCTCTACAAACCTATTCCCGTCCCTCAGACAGCCTGCTCCTGGCCCCCTCCCCCGCTCTGAGCATCACAGGCCTCTAGGTCTAAATGCCTCCCTACCTCTCATCCCAGCCCCCTGGGCCTACCACCGACGGTGCCCCAAGACAGTTCCCTTCCTTTCCCCGCTATGGGCCTCCCTCCACTAATGGTGTGCACCATTGTGCCCCCGCTCGGTTCCATCCGACGGCGCTCCCCGTAACTCCCTTGGCCTGCCTCCGCTGGCAGTGCTCTCCGCCCTTACAGGCCCCTTTGCTGTCATCCCACGTATCCTCCCACGGTTTTCTAGTCCTGCAAGTCCCCCTCCCCCGACGATGCGTTTTCACGGCTCTCTACTCCATCCGAGGCGCCCCCTCCGCACAGTCCCCAAGGCTTGACTCCCTCCCTCCCCCTCAGGTAGCGTCCCCTCCCGGCCCTGGCCTGCCCGCCGCCCGCCCCCTCACCAGCGGCTGCATCTCCGAGTGCGCGGTGGGCACCTGGAACCGGTCGATCTCCTCCATCATGGTGCCGGTGGGCTAGGGGGCCGGGGGTCGGGCGCGGCCAGGGACGCCGACGGGACCGCGCGGGGCGGCGGCCCCAGGAGCCGGGTCGGTGGTGCAGACTAGGCCGCCCCGGACCAGTCGGGCAGATGGAGGGTGGGCACGAGGTGGGAGGTTTGCAGGTGGGCTGAGGCCGGCGTGGCTCCGTCAGCTTGCCTAGCGCTACAGCGACCGTGGCCCTGCAGAGCCGCAGGTCTTGCCTCGCCTCCACCTCCGCCGCCGCCTCCTGTCAGCAGCTCAGCCACTGCCGTGACTCTGCAACTCCACTTCCGGGTCCGGGACACCGCCTGATTCTGCATTATTCATGAGGAGGCGGTGTCTGGGCTCACTAGCCCCTCCCACATGCGGGAGTTCCGAAAGGCGCGGCAGCCGGTCGTCTGGCCTTAGGGGGCGGGGCTTAGTGGAGCTGGTGGTTTCCCGCGAGCCCAGCCCCGCCTTCCCCTCGAGCAGGGAGGAGGCATCAGAGGCGCCTGCGCCTTGGCTGCAGGTTAGTTGCTGGGTAACCGCGTCAGGGAGGAGCCGATTCCGTTCTGCTAGGGCGCGGGGACCCACAACGTCGGGTGTCCCCAAAGAGCCCCTGAGACTGGGAATTGAAGTGAAAGAGAATCCGGATTTCCTGTGCATGATTGAGGGGACGGACAAACCTCTTGTCCTCAGGCGGGGGAGCGTTTTGTAGGCGCTCCAAGTGTTGAGGTGCTTCCTGCTTCTTCGAAGATGCCCCACAAACCACCGCCTCGTAGGCAGGTAACACACACCTCGACCTGCTCTATTCCGACGACCTCTGACCTTCGCTGCCAGTGACCACTGATCATACCTCTGCTACTGACCCTTCATCTTCCTTTCCCTGTTGACTTCTGTCCCCCTGTGATTCCTGGCCTGTGTTCCCAGTGACCTCTGACCCTGTCCTGCTCTCTCCCACTAATCCTAGCCTCCTCTCCCACACTGCCCCCGACCCACTGTTTCCTACCACTCTTTCACCTGTCCTCCTCTCACCATTCCATTCCCTCACTCCACAGACCCAGCCTGACAGGCCCATCCTCCTTAAACCCCCATCCCCACTCCTACCAATATGTTCCTCATCGTCCTCACAGTCTTGTCGCAAATGAGTAATTTCTCCTGCCCTTTGCTGAGTGCCCAGTGCTGGGCTAGGTGGAGACACTGGCCTTTGGGAACTCACAGGAGAGTACAGGAGAACTGTACCGGAGACACAGAACAGATTGTGTGTGGGAGTATGGTTCAGATCTTCTGTGTTGGGAGACTTGTGAGGAGTGAGAGTTCAGGCAAAGAAGAAGAGGGCAGAGACCCCTTTCCCATCCCCTTTCACACACTCCTCACTCCAAACTGGCCCCTCCAAACTGTCCTCGTTGCCACCTGGACAGATGTCGTCCCTTCTCACAGGAAACCCAAGAGTCGCCCCTCTTAACCCACCCAGCTTCACCCTGGAAGGAGAGGTAAGGCTCAGCTTCTCGAGGAGCTCTCTGTGGTGAAGCCACTCAGTCCTTCAAGAATCACTTTTTCCAAACCGTATATGAATTATCATCTTGGGACTAATATGCAGTTTCTTGCTTTGTGAGGCAGGGCTTCTACTTACTTATTCTTAAATAAGCACTATCTCAGGCCTAGGTATTTTGAGGTTTGGAGACCAAATCTGTGTGCATGCTGTTTGTGACTTTACATATTTGCGTCTGGCCTCCTCCGTATTATTAGCCTTTGCTCCATTGCTTCTTTCACCTGGCCTTCCATAGCAGGTGCACCCGTCGTTCTTAGATCTCTGCAACCATGGGGAAGCTGCTATTCCCGTATGGCCTTGCCCTAGTTTTATGTCAGGGTTGAACTGTGTTTTGAAGCTCATGTACTGGGCTTGGGGCTACCGACTTTTAATTTACATGCAGTTTGTTTTAAATTCAGCATTACTGAGGTCTGGTTTACATACAATGAAATGGACCATTTTAGTTGTACATGTTGACAGGTTTTGACAGATTTATATACCACCACAATCAAGATATAGGATGCTTCCTCTACCCCCAAAAGTTTCCTTGCACCTTGTTCTAGTCCATTCTCCCCAGGTAACCACTGATCTTCTTTCTGTCACTCCAGATTTGATTTTTCTAGCAGTTTGAACAAACTTGGGAATCAGTTTCTCCAGCCCATTAGGGGAGACATTAGAGGCTAGGTAAACTGAGAACAGAGAGAGGTGACAGCAGACAGAAGACAGAAACCCAGGTCAACTGGCCTTGCGCACATCAGCACTGCCCCTTGGAGGGAAGGGTTGTTTTAGAGCAGGGTAAATATGGGTGTGTGGAGTGTGAGCACAAGCTGGGTTGTGCTGGGTTGTATTCATCACCCTCTTGTCTCATTGAGGCCCAGTCTGTATCAGTGGTGAGCTGGGTGTGGGACTGCCTTGAGAGCCTTGAGAAGTCCCTGTCGTCTGGGAACTCAGTTGGGGAGACAGAACACAGGCATATAAAGATAAGGGAGGATGGGATCCCTGGGGCTGAGAGGGAGAGAGACATGCAGGTTGGAGCAGCATAAAAGCTTCAGGGAGTGGGCAGCTATGACTTGGATGCCCGCAGTCGAGAGGGAAGGTCAGGATTGGGTTTGTTAGGGGGCAGAGAAGAGTTTAAACTCCATTGTTTGTATCGCTGATCAAACATTTTATTGGCTCCCTCTTGCTCTCAGAATAAAGTCCCAAAAGTCCAACTTGCTTAGTATGGCCTACAAGGCCTTGCCAGGTCTAGCCTTTGCTACCTACCCTACTTCAGATCTCATCATTGCTCTGTGATGATTCCACAGTCCCAGCACACCCTGAACTGCCCTCACTTCCTGGAGAGTGACATCCACACTATCTTTCTCCTCTAGGCCTTTGAAATTGCTGTTTCCACTGCCTGCCTGGTACAGTCTGTTCAGTCTGCTGCCACCTGCTCCATGCCACCCTGCCCCAAATCTCTCCTTCATCCATCACATCTCAGTTTGCCCATCATATTCTCCTATAAGGGATTAAGTCGCCTTTCCGGAGGCAGGATAAGGTGATATCCCCACTAGACTATAAACTCTGATGGCAAGGATGGTCTGTCTCATTCATTGTTGATTCCCCTGAACCTAGCACAATGCCTGGAATATATTAAATTCTGAAAATGAGTTGAATATGAATTCTGAATGCTTCCAATTGTTCTTTGGAAATTTTGATCTGAGTGAGTTTGAAGGATAGAAAGGGTTGAGGCTGGGATGAGGAGATTGGTGGGGAGTGATAACAAGGAAACGTCACTGTAGAAGCATACTTTTCTGGGTTTATGTTTATATCTGCTTTGGTAGCAGGGCTATGAATGGTTCACATTTGAACCACACGTACCCATGCCTTAAGAGCTGGGTGTTGGAAATTAAGAGGACAAAAATTCTGATGATATAAATATTCTCATTTGACAATTATTTATTGAGCATCTACTATATGCCAGGTACTGTGCTAGGTATTGGTGATATAGCAACAAAACAAACACAAATCCCTGCTCTCATGGAGCTTATCTTTTAGTTGGAGATAAATTGTCAATAAACAAATAAGTAAAATATATAGTTTATAAGGTGGTGATAGGTGTCAAAAAGAAAAATAAAGCAGGGAAATGGACTAGGAAGTTCAGGGAACCAGAAGATTATGATTTAAACATAACGGTCAGGGGAGGCCTCACGGAGGTGACATTTGAGAAAGATCTGAAGGAAGTGAAGGAATTAGCTATGTGGTATCTGGGGGGGAGGCATTCCTGACAGAGGACATAGCAAGTATAAAGTTCCTGAGATGAGAGCTTGCTTACACATGTTCTGGATCAGCAAGGAAGGGAGGAGGAAAATGGCAGGAAATAAGGTTAGAGACATGTATCCCTCTACTCCAGAGGGTTAATCAAATAATCATGGCATATTAGATTGATCATGATGAAGCTCCATGAATCATAATTTGTAATTAAAATTCATGAATGTCAGGCACCATAAACCATGACCAGCTCAAAACATCACTGCTAATATCCCAATAAAAAAGTGTCCTTCCTGAAAATTTCAAGAATTCCAACTGGCTGCATGTGTATATGCAAGAGGAGATTTGCATCATTGCCAAACATTGCCTGGCAGGCAGACTTCTTAGTAGAGGACTGAATTAGAGTCTTCTGTGAACTCCAGTTAAAGGCTAATTTTAGTTTATGACTAACAAGTTTTAGTACTCCTTTATAACTCAGTTACCATAAAAAAAAAAAATCAAAGTCTGGCATTTTGCTTCAGTCGCCTGTAGGAGCCAAAGAAAAGCTTGCATTTTTGGATCATTTTGTGATCTCTCCAGAGCCCTCTGGGACAATACTTTTAGAAATATTGATCTTGATGAGGTGTGACTAGGGTAGGGGTAAGTGGGCAGGAGTCAGTGCAAGGCCAGAAGAGAGTCTTAGATGATCCAGAGATTTTGAATCTGATGACTGGTCCTGGGATCCACAGAAGAAAGGACAGGAGGAGGTGAGCAGAATCTAAGGGAAGTTGATACTTTGTCCAAAGTAAGATCCCTGCTCTTGTGACCCTTCTCCTCCGTGTCATCCTCACTCCCCCACATCCTTCCTTCCTCAACCTCTTACCTTCTTTAAGCCCTAGATATGATCCTGTGCCCCTTTACTTCCTAAATCTCTCAAATCAGACCACTTTTTTCCTATTCACTGCCACCCTGCTAGCCCTGCCTACCATCATCTCTCACCTGGAAGGCTGTAAAAGCCTTGTAACCAGTATTCCCCTCGCCCACTCATGTCCCTTCCAATCCATTCTCTACACTGTACCAAGTGATCTTTTCAAGCTGTCAATCTGATTATGTCATCCCTCCCTCAGAACCCTTCAGTGACTTCCTACTGCTCTTAGGAGAGGGACCAAATTTTTAGATAACACTTCAGGAGCCTGTATGGGCTGAGGCCTGCTTGGGTCTCTAAGCCTTAACTTGTTAACGCTCTTCCAATTATTTCTGTACGTCTGTTCTATGTGTTGTCCCTTCTTTCTGGAACACTCTTCGTGCCCTCCCTCCCTCACACATGTACTCACTCTTAAGATTCCAGCCCCAGGGTCAGTGCCCACAACCGCCTTAATGCCCCCTGCCCTGTTAATGAAAAGAGAGTTAAGTTTCTCTATTTATAGTCTCATTGCCCTTGATCCTTTCTTCCACAGCATGCATCCCAGGGTGTAATTATTCACTTGTTTGTGTAATCATTGGATTATTGTATGTCTCTCCCATTAGATTGTGAGCACCTTGAGAGCAGGGCCTGTGGATGTTTTTGCGCAC